ATCAACAACTGTCATTTGATCTTTGACAAATAAACAAACAAAGCCTCTTGCATGTCTATTTTATTGTATTTTATTAATAAAAAAAAAACATCCATTAGTTCATTAATGGCTCAGTTGGTAGAGTTGTTGCCGCTAAGTGAGAAAGTTGCTGGTTCAAATCCTGGCATGGGACCTTTCTAGTTGCATGCGTGCATTTTCTCCTGGTACTCCAGTTTCCTCCCACAGACCAAAAACATGCTTGTTAGACTGACTGGTAACTCCACATTGTCTCTAGGTGTGAGTGAGATGGTGAATGGTTGTCTCATGTGTCTCTATGTGTCCCTGTGATGGACTGGAGACCTGTCCAGGGTGTCCCCCACCTCTCACACAGTGATAGCTGGACATGGGCACCAGTGATCACCATGACCCATAAAGGAAGAAGCGGGTAAAGATAATAAATTCATGTTCATTAGTTGGAAATAATACGTACATATCTCAGATTGTGTTGTCAACATATCACTCTACCTGTGTTACCAGTACACACAGCATGTTCTAATGTATGCTAGTAACAGCACCTAGCAGTCAACCAATAGTAGTTTGCTACTAGGGCAGGGCTATTCAACTGGTGACCTGGGGGCCAAATCAGACCCACTGGTGAACTCAGTTCTGCCCACCAATAGGTTCAATTTTAAACAAAATTAGATTTTAAACCATAAATCAAACTTACTTAATGATAATAGCTGCTGGATGTCCAGCCCCTGAGCTATTAGCTTTCAGTAACTATGGCCTCTGTGTAGTTTAGTTAAATAGCCCTGTACTAGGGCCTTAGTATGAATTTGTATCATAAAAATTGGCTCTATTAAACCAATTAATTGCAGAAATGCGAGTTGGAGTTGAATTATGATTTTGTCAAACTTAACCATGTAGTATTGCTGTTTAAGCCAAATCAGAAATGTATTTAATTTAATTGTCTTGGCAGTGTGTACGTAATGATACTCCAACAATCACACGATGCAAAGAATGGAAAATCCATGCTTATGTATAATCTTTAGTTTTCTTGATGTGAACTGGGTCTAATATTTCAGAATATTTGAAAAAGATACATAATAAGAAATGTGTATCACTCTTAAGATTTCTGAGTTTAAAGCTGTAGCGTGTGGCTGATACAAGGTTCATAATTATTTTTTTTTATATAGTTTCTTATTTGTAAATATTTTATTTTGTTTAAATGTTAAAGATTATCATGCATTGCTTAATTTACAAATGAATAAACATAAAATGCCATTGAGACTATTGTCTTAGTCTGATCCTTTGCTTTTTTGACACTTTGTACCAAGTGTAAAAGCTTTTTAATGTTCTTAAGAATCAATCCACGGCGCTTGCAGTTGAGTTTTTCTTTCCCCTTTGCAAAATAGCTGAATATGTTGTTGTGGTGTTCACCTTCGACCTTAACAGGAAGAGACAGAACCAGTGAGGGTTATGCTTTTAGGGGGCTGATTTCAGATGAGGAGAGAGAAACTGATTATGAATGATCCCAAGAGTAAAAATGAAATAACTTTTTTTATTTTTTTACGAGTAAAGTAGCTAAACAAAGAGTAAGCGGTAATGGAATATGACAGATGTGTGTATCAGCTGGAGTCTCACCTCAAAAGAACAAGAAAATCCACTTCCTTTTTTTGGCTCCATTTAGAGTGCCCACTCTGTTCTTCACAAGCAGATACCTTCCTCAGTGCAACTCTCAGCAGTAAGCAGACTTGTAGACAACCTTTCTGTGTGTGAAAGGTAATTCTTTCTTCAAGCTGTACAAAGAAAAGAAGGCACAACCAAGAGACACTAGGGGAGATAGAGAAAAAAAGGTAAAGGATACATTTTAAAGGAAAAATACTGGTTCAGGGCAGCACAGTGGTACAACTGGTAGAGCTGCTGCTTCTCAGCAAGCAGGTTACCCTGGTTCAAATCCCGGTCTGGGATCGTTTCTTGTTGGAGGTTGTACGTTCTTTCCGTGCATGCATGGGTTTTCTCTGGGTACTATGGTTTATTCCCAAATATCAAAAACATGCATGTTAGGCAGATTGGTAACTCTACATTGTCCATAGGTGTGAGAGAGTGAATGGTTGTTTGTCTCGTTTGTCTCTATGCGTCCCTGTGATGGACTGGAGACCTGTCCAGGGTGTACCCCGCCTCTCGCACAGTTATAGCTGGACATGGGCACTGGTGACCCCCAATACCCAAGATGGAAGAAGCGGGTAAAGATAATGGATGGATTGATGGACGGATATTGGTTCAAGCCTACTTGTTGGTAGGACTTTACCCGGTGCAGCGGCACACTACTGAATTCAGAAAAGTTTCAGTGTTGCAGTTTATTAAATACTTTTCAACATACAACGATAGAAGTGTTCCAATTACATTAGTGATGGTCTCTAAATTGGTATTTTAAATGGAAATATTTATTTACAAAAATTAAAATGCAATATCTCTAGTTTAAGCTGCCATTCCTAAATGTCTAAGTATGGCCTCCTGAGGTCACAGTTTTCTTGTGCAAATTGAACGTCAAATAAACCAACTTTTGTTAGAATTTGCATTTGAGGCAAAGGAAAACAACAACAAAAAAGTTGTAATAATCTTAAACTGCTTAAATATTTTAGATATGTTATACATTTTCTTTTTCTTTTTGGTAAGCAAACATGTTTAAGTAGGCAAAGGATGAATTGCACTCTCCAGATTGGGATTGAGGTGTTGCCTCAAGTGGAGGAATTAAATCTTGGGGGTTTGTTTTTGAGTGAGGGAAGAAGGAAGCATGAGATGGACAGATCAGTGCAGCTTCCTCCCTATTGCTGACTCTATGCTAGTCCATTGTGGTGAAATGGGAGCTGAAGTGCTGGTCGAAACTCTCTGTTTACTGGTCAGTCTACATTTCTACCTTCATCTATAGTCAGAAATTCTGGGTAATGGTTGAAAGGATAAGATCTGGGGTACAGGTGGTTGAATTGAGTTCTCCCTGCTGGGTGGCTGGATTCTCTCTTCTAAAGTGAGAAGATCAGTTACACATCATCAGAAACTTGGAGTAGAGATCAACAAAGTCCATGCTCAATAATCCAGGTATAAAATCCAACATTTTTCAGTCAGGTCATCTGCACAGTTTCTTTTTTTTGGGGAGTAGAGATGTTGCTCCTGCACATCAAAAGGAGCCACTCGAGGTGGTTGAGGCATCTCACAATTCAAGACTCTTTATTTCTCATTCGCACCACGTATGTTACATGTGGTGGAATTAAATTGTGTACACAGGGTCCCAGTTAAAATGTAAAAGAAAAACACTAATAAGGTCTAAGATTTGAACTAAGAAAAACATTAACTAAAAACACACTAAGCACTAGTAGCATAGAAACAATAGAAACACTATGCCAAACAGTAGCACGAACATGAGTCTGTGTGAGCAGATGAATATGAATGAACACAGCAACATGAAACAGATCAGCAGCAACATGAAACAGATCAGCAGCAACATGAAACAGATCAGCAGCAACATGATGTAATTTTTTTTTACAGTGATTTTTCTGGTTAGAGATTCATGAGTCTAACAGCCTCAGGGTAGAAGTTGTTCCTCAGTCTAGTGGTTCTACACTTAATGCTCCTTAACCTTCTTCCTGAGGAGAGCAGGGCAAAAAGTGTGTGTGCTGGGTGAGCGGAGTCCTTCATGATGTATGTGGCCCTCTTCCTGCTAAGGATCTCTTGTAAGGATGTCTCCTGAATGCATCCCTAGAGAGGTTTTCCAGGCATGTTTGACTGGTAGGAGACCCTGAGGAAGATGCAGGACACGCTGGAGAGACTACGTATCTGGACTGGCCTTGGGACACTTTGGAGTCCTCCCAGAAGAGCTGAAGGAGGTGGCTGTGGAAATAAATTTCTGTGCCTCCCTGCTCAATATGCTGCCCCTCACAACCCGACACCAGAGTCAGCAGGAGATAATTAGGATAATTTGATCATTAGGATGAATGAATGGATGGATGGATGAAAATTTGATTTAAAAATGTGTAATACAAAAAAATAAAATAAATTAAAGCAAAAAAAAAAAGTTTAAGAACAGTATAAAAGTACAATTTTTGTATTTACTTTTTTTTTTCTTACATCATGTTAGGACATCATAATAAGCTGTATTATGATAATTATTTGTACTTTCCTTAGACATTTGTAGCTGACACTAAGAAATGTACAAACATAGACAGTACACCATGTCCTTTGAAAAGATGGACACACAGAAGCAGAAAAAAAATCATACCCATGTGAAAAATAGTGGTTTTTCCAAATATCTGACTCACTGTAGAAGAGTAAACAGGCAGTCTTTCAAAAGTTAAAAAGGAAGATGTTTGACATGACTGATGCTCAGTAAAAATATATAATAAATATAGCCACAGCTTGTGAAAGTGATGCAAAATAAAAACCTATGACACCAATAAGCTGAAGAACACTTTTGTCATGTCATTCTTTGTTTAAAA